GTTGAAAAAATGCTGAATTTTGTCCACCATGAGGGCAATTTTACGACTTCAGCCCCTTCACTCACTTGTGCTTGTCTATTTCATTTTAGTATCCTTTTGTTAATACGCAAGTTCCTTACTCCAAGTAAATCTTCTTTCGAATGGTGCTTCTTTCCAAACCTGACAACAGGGAACCTCTCAAGCAAATGTACAATCTGATCTCTACCTAATGGATGCGGAGGATCTCTCTTCTCAACAGTACCATCAAAAAGCTTGCTCCATTTTTTGTTATGTATCTGTGTTTTAGGTTCAACCACCTTCTGTTAAACTAATAACAAAACTTTCGACTGTGCTGCAGATAAAGACCTTTGAATTCTGGACCACACACTGGACATGCATATGTTCCCTTTGTAGACTAACCTGAAAGATTCACATAGGCTGAAAAATCATTAATTGTCCATAGTAAAATACCATGTAGTCTGAAAGACTACTTTGCATGAGTTTCATATGTCATAACCCCTTCAGTCTAGAGTTATTTTAACTCATCAATTAGCGGTTCTAAAAACACATCTATGTCATTGCATGGTGCATGCTTGCTTGATACAATAATGAAAGTATCATATACGGTTGTTTCATGCAAAGCCAAGGCAATAAGTTGTAAGGCGTTAATACAACAGTCCATGTAGACCAACCGGAACTCATAATCCCAAATGGATTGAATTTGTCGCTAGAAAAACCTAGTCTAACATTCCTGCACTCATTCGCAAACCAAGGAAAAGTTCGATCCACATGCTTTCACGCCTCTGCATTGGCCGGATGTCTGATTTTACCATCATCTATACATTCTTCCATGTGCCACCTCATTTGCTTAGCAATGTCTTTATTCATATACAACCATTTTAGCCTAGGTATTAAAGGAAAATGACGAATGACCTTTGCTGGAATCTTCTTTTGCTTAAGTATAGAACTTGTCGTCGCATGTGTTGAATAATTTTTGCATTGTACCCACCATGATACTCCACAAATTGGACACTCCTAAAGATCTTTGTTATCCTTATAGTAGAGGATACAATCATTAGGGCGTGTGTCGATTTTTTTGTAATCAAGTCCTATAACAGAAACAATCTTCTTTGCGTTATCATAATTTTCTGGTATGGTCGATTTTTTTGTAATCAAGTCCTATAACAGAAACAATCTTCTTTGCGTTATCATAATTTTCTGGTATGCTCTCTTTTCCATTTGGAATGACTTTTCTCAGCAACACAAGCAACATATTAAAATATTTATCTGTCATTCTGCTAAGAGACTTTATGCGCAAAAGACGCAGCATAAATGATAACCTGGTGAACTCGGTGCAACCCTTATACAGATTATTTTCATTGTCGTCTATTAATTTCATTATCTGCGCCAGCTCCTCATGATCAGTCATGCCTCCAGCATTTCCTGTAACTTCAGCATCCTTAGCATCTTCAATTTCATCTATATTAGGAACTATTAACATATTAGCAAGCATCGTATGTGTATCATCTATCCTCGTATCATCTATTCTCCCATCGGACGTACCGGTGTCCGCCATCTATTCCATTTCTTCAAGACATCCTTCCCAATGAAATGTCCAATATTTGTACTCCTCATAACATCCTGATATTCATAACATCCTGATATTAAGTGTTTCTGTAAATCATTTTTATCCACCAACGCCCTATTTTTACGCCAACAGTATGGACAAAACACGACATCACTATTTAACTTCCGTGGGCCTGCCAAGACGTACTGTATGAATTAATTTATTCCATCTTTATATCGACTATCCCTCCATCTATCAATACGAGGAATATCGATCCATGATTTGTTGGGAACTATCCTCATCTGTATGATAGATATATAATATTATTCATTAATGAAATTAAGTACAATTAGGTAATGTGAATTTTTATTAGTAACACATCAAATTAATGGTTGCGTGATATTAACTTTTTTCACGACATCAAGGAAATTCAAATTATAATAATCTCGGAGGGAAAATTGCCAGAAGATAAATTATGTGGGAGTAAAATCTAAAGCTCAAATTTTTAATAAGACACTTTAACGGCTGTCATAGGAAATGGACCTATCCCATTAGGAATATAGTAGTGCCTACAACTACCTTTATATACTTTATGTGTTTTTATTTCTTAAAAATTTTGACAGCACCTACCCGCTATTCTCCGAGTACACTATGCAGATATTATAATGTGTATCAATCATTGATAATAGATCGATTATAGTTCAATACGCAAAACAATATACACTTATTCTATACGGAGAAAAATGCGGTACATGTTGTCAAAATTTTTAAGGAATAAAAATACATAAAGTATACAAAGTTAGACGATACACTACCGTATTCCTAACCTGTACGAGAAGGGGACTCCTTCCCGGACAGATCTAATAATTATTACATGTAGATCATGCTCCTAACATAAATCACGTTATTCTCTTTAGATGTAAAAAGTATTTTCACATCCAACTAGAATTGCGTGAGTTTATATCAGAAGAGATTCACATCCAACATTATTAGATGGGAAACTAGGGGTAACGACTTTAGATTCATAAAATCATGATATATAACACAATACAATCTCGATATACCTAACTAAATTGAATGCATCAATTACAGCAGAATCATTTATCATAACAATCAATGTTTAATTAGAGTATTAGATTTATGGTAATATAATCATGATTGAATTAGTATTATTTTACATGCCTGCATGACCTTGAATCTATGAAGAGTTTGGATCTAGATCATATTTTTTTTGGCTCGTGGGAGCAAAACATTTGTTCTTTTCCAAGCTTCTAATAAGATACAAATGTTATTCAACAAATTTATCATCTTATATACACCCACCTCTTCTAGTTTTTTCCTAGCCAACACAACATGTACCTTTTCTCCCTGGTTCATGAGACTTAAGAGCTGATAATTGCGTATAAGGAATTATCCTCCTTAGGAGGGTCATATGTCTTGGCCTTCACTGTTTTCTGTTGTCCTATCTGAGCATTTGGAACCATTTGTAGAAACATGAATCTGAAATTGGATATAGATAGGTAGTCAAATAATTTACACACCTTTTTTTGACTGAGTTTCTCCATAAACGGTCCTCATATTAAGAATGAAAAATGTCAATATTATGTATTAGCTTCATTTGAATTTCAATTATAGGCATGACGAGGAAACTGATTCTGTTGTGTAAATGTCTAAACCAAAATCCTGTGAGCTCTCATAATTTGTTGATCTTTTATCAAATTGTAATAGCCTTATGTAAAATTTTAACAACAGCTTTTCCTAAAAATGATTCCCGTTCAATTTTCGAGTCAGATTGATACTATCTTTTGTGTAAATTAATGTGTAAATTAAACAGGCATAAAATAGAACTAAAAGTGAATAAAATACCTTTCCTGAAGAGTTGTATGAGGAAACTCACGACATGATTGTAATTCCTCAAATCTGGCGTCGTGTTTCCAACCAACAGAAGCTCGCTCTGCAAATAAGAACCCTAATTTCTAACCAAACATATTGAAATGATCAAAATAAAGTCCTATAAAATCGACAGGACGGGCTCGAGGCTACTTACAGTAGTGACAGCGAAACTTCTCCTCGAAGAACCTCTCCTTGATGTTGCGAATCGAAGAGATTAGAGCTGGGACTCGCCGCTGGGTCCACCGATGCTCTGGAGAGCCGCTAGGGTTCGAGAGAAGGAAGCGAGAGCGTTGGCGAATCAACAGAGCACGCATGACAAGGATGTGGTGAATCGATGGAGGCGGTGGAGTCACGGCGAAGTCACGGTGGTGGTGGCAGTGGCGGCCCCAAAGGACGGCGAAGGTGACATTGGCGACTTGCTGGAAACAACGTGGCGAAGGCGGAAGGCTGACGAAACCCAGCAGCGACGACGGAGGTGCGACGCACCTTGGCTGGAGACACGGCGGCGAAAGGCGGTTAGCGACGCACAGGCGGCATCTTCAGTTTTTTACTGTGGTAAAAAGAACGGGATGGTAAAAATGAATATATAGGCCAACATCGCTGACGGGTAGCCGTCAGCGCTGTTCGTATCCCGTCAGCAATGTTTATATCGCTGACGGGAGAGAAAAAATTATGACAGCAACATCTTTGACGGTTAATCCCGTCAGTAATGTAAATATCGTTGATGGGATTTTCCCGTTAGTGATGTTGCCGTCAGCGATAGCCATTTTCCCACTAGTGAGGTTATAGGCTTTTGTACTATTAGTATATTAACTTGTTCTAACATACAATTTATTCATGGGTAGCAGAAGTAAAAATCCACTTTAAATTCGTGGCCAGGAGTTACTAAACCTTGATTGCTCTTCTACCACAGTAAAGGACCCTACTAAGGTAATAAACTTTAAAGTTGTGATAGGGTTGAAGGTTACATTTTATACTCTAGCATCCATACTCACCAAGAAGCTAACGCCTCGTTTGGTACGCGGCAATAGAGAGAATGAAATGGATATAGGAATGGAATGAAATTGATGTGGGAATGAAATGCTTATTCATATTCTCTTGTTCGGGTGCTATTAGAAAATTAAGCGGGAATATCTTTAATAATGGTATATTTAGAATTTATTGTATTATTTTCATTCCCACTTAAGTGCGAATATTAATTCCTTAATAACTCATTGGGAATATCAATTCTCACATTAAGTGAGAATTAATAAGAAGCGAGATTGTTATTTCTAGCATCCAAACATACATCATGTTTGATAGACATAAATGAGAAGTTAAAATTGCATTTCATTATCGGTCATTCCAGTGTACCAAACGCGGCGTAATATCTTTCGACCTGACAACTTGGAGCAACCAAATATGTGAGAAATTAAATTTCTATTGGATGTTTTACAAAATCAATTAAGGCGGATATTCACAGTTTAAAAACTGTCCCTTCTCCAAATCATATTGGCAGTTAATTGCCATTCGTTAAATGAGGTCGAGTAGCTAGTGCAAATAATCATATGGAGCCCAGCGCTAAATAAACAAAACAGCTTTAAAAGTTGCATTGCCTTTTCTTTTTGCCCTTTTCTTTCTTCTTCTAACAAAAACATGTAATCATTCAAAGCTTTTAAGCATACTACTGGCTCAAAGCGATGGATTTTTGCAGAACAAAAGAAATTTGTACAAGTTGGCATCAATACGTTTTCATGACAAAGAAAATTCTCTTCCCCAGCTAGGCTATCCTTTTGATCGGTCCAAACTCCATGAAACATTAAGAGCATGGGGGACCAAGCGGAAAGAAATTAATAATGTTTTAACTTTCCATGACAAATAATGCCTAATATTTGTCCATTCCAGATCCTCTCATTATTCTCAACCTCTTGCATGATGAAATGAACATCCTACAAGCGACATAAAGAGACATAATTAGAACAAATTAAACGCAATAAAATTAAAGCTAAACAATTTATTTCGAAAGTTTCTAAAAATTTAACCCATTTATTCATCAATATAATACTTACTCCCAAGGGACATCACCAACCAACATCCAATCCCCATCTTTATCCTCATATGTGATATCATACTCACACCGATCATATCCTCCCATTTCCAATAGATCACCTGTTTCATAAATAAATATAAATAAATAAATAAATAAATAAATCACTATTTTCAAGAATGTAATATGTTTTTGTAGCAAACACTTGTTAATTAATTACCTAGAGAAAAATTCTTGAACATGTTCTCTAAAGCCTCTCTAAGCTCCTTGTATCCCTCGTACACCTTGGGATCAATCTTTCTCAAGTAAGGAGCTCCATCCATGCTAACCTTAATAAACCTTCCACTCTCCTCTTTCTTCTTCGCCGCCAAATTATTTCTTCGATATGATCTCACCGGTGGCCATCCTACGACTTGAGCCCTGTAATATCGAAAAATATCTATGTTTAGTATATCTAGGGTTATAAAGATTGCAGCAAAATTTAAATGTTCATGTACTTCTATAAAAGCATAAGCTTACTTGGCCGGAGGAGTGGTATCTCGATCATTACCATGAACTGAATCAGTTGAACTTCCTTTTGATTCTCCAGATAGTGATCTTTTATTAACCCAAGGGGTTTTTGGTTCATTGCCTCCGGGCAAACCAAGCCTTAGCTCTGTTCCATCTAGGCAGTCGATATTGCCATTTTTCTTCCCTATTCCATTCTCCATGAGTCCTGAAAAAAAAACTCAGGTCTCCTTAACCTATCTAACCCTAGAATTCTTCCGATTCAAACTCTCTCTTGGTGCTAGAGGTGGTTCGAAAGCTATAGGACTACAAGAGGAGCAGTAGTATATATATATATATGGAAGCAATAATAGTGTTGTCAAAATGAAGGAAGGTGGAGGGAAAATGAAATCATATAGAGGGCTCCCTATAGAAAATTGTATAGAAAATGCAGTATATCATTACACGGCTCCTCATAAATTTTAAAGTTGGTGATCCATAGAAAATTTTTGAAGGAATAGGGGGACAATGTATCATGGGGCTCTATCTCATTGCAAGGAAATTGGGCCCTTACACAGCTAGGATAGTACGGATGGTGGGGGTGCACCCTTTAGGGTAATGCCCGTCCATTTTGGGGGCAGCGTGGACCCTTTAGGATGGAAGTTCAGGGGACAAGCCATGTGGATGGGCGTAATCAAGGTCAAATGGCCCATGAAATAGTGGATATTAGAGATTTTGATCGATGATGGATTGGTGCATCATGTGAATGTGAGTTGTTTTTTGAGGAGCTTTCTAGCTCAATGGTGCTTCGTGGGAACTCGGCTTGACCTTTCCTTACAATGTTTTTTTTTTAGCAACCACATAAGAAAAAATTACATTATTTTTAGGAAATCCTGTAGAAAAGTGATATAAACCATCTCATCGGTAGAAGGTTACATTTTTCCAATTATTATTGTTACTTAGGATACAGATAACTACAAACTACAAAAATATTGAATATAATAATATTGTATCATTCAATCAATGAATATTATATATATATTAATATACTTATATATATAATATATAATTATATATTTATATACTATTATATTATATATATTAATATAAATATATAGAAAAAAGAAAAAGATTCAAGAAAAAAAAAATAATTAATCGTATCCATGTCATTAAGATTCCCTCCTATCCTAAAATCACATGATGAACGACCATGTATGATCTCGTGAACTGATACATATCTAAACCACAACAATGTAACGTCGTGTACTCATCGACATTATGAAGTCTTCATCAAAACTTAAAAATATACGACTGTGATGAAGTCAAACGACACCGATCACCAACTGTGTTTAGAATATGTAGGATCAATCCAACGACGATCCATCATCCTAATGCGAATCAGCTGATAGAGATCAAAGAGAATCTCTCTTATGAAGACTACCATTAATCTCATATATATATATATATATATATATATATATAAATATATAATATAAATATATATATAATAATATATAAATATATATAATATATATAATATATAATATATATATAATAATATATATAATATTAATATAAATAAGAAGGAAAAGAAGAAGACAAGCGCCTAGAGCGCGCGAAGCAGTGCTCCACAAAGCCGCGACCGAGTTTGCACAAGTGTTTGAGTAATTACACCTAAAACTCTTAGAGCTTATTTTATACACCCATGTTGGATATCCGTTGGCATGCAGCCCACAGCTTTAATCACTAATTTGGGATAAACACCGCTCGATATACCACATCATACAAAGTCTCTATTACATGAGATTGCGATACCAGTTTGATATGAGCCTCAGTTCTCAGTAATTATGTATTCCGGTAGCCTGTGTCGATATTTCTATTTATACAGCGCCAATTGAGTCGGGCGGTTTTGGATACTTTGTCTAGCCACTCCGTCCGCCACAGATGGCTCGCGCATGTCAGGCGTTCTGTGAGTCGTGCTTGCTCGACCTCGCCTCTTTTATAGCCGATCAAGCGTATATTAGCTCAGCCCTCTGGTTCCCGCCACTCCATGGGTTATGATATTGTCAGTGTTGGCCCTTCTCCTTTGTTTCTGATGATTGATTTTTATGCAAACAATTTACATCTAATGATTTTTGTCTAGATATTGGCTGTTTTGCGGTCTATTTATTCTAGGCCCAAAACAACAATGTTGGAGGATGGATGGAATAGAGACTTATGATTATTGTCGTGTTAACTACTATCAGGTCCAATATCACACACACGTTTAGTATTAGATTTATCGTTCCGTTTTAGCATTATAGACTTAACGACATTGACTTTATATCTTTTATCAAGTTTAATCAAATCCTATCTTTGCGGAAAGTTTTCAAAACTTTGTTTTTAAACTCTATTCTGTCCAAGATCAAGCTTTTACAAGCGTCGCATACTTACGTGCATTTTACAAAAATAAATTAAATTACATACAATTTTGGGAAATGCCCAATAATTCGGAAAAATTATTTTTTGCTAACATGCTTTAAAATCACATTTTGCAGAACTGGTTAGGCCGCATGTAAATTTGCATTTCCGAAAACCATGAGTTGTTCGTTTGTATGATCAAGAACAGCTTATTACAAACTAATAATCAATGTTTACAACATAATGCGGCAGGCAAAGGCCCTTCCTTGTCTTAACCGTGGGGTTCCTCCAGGTGGGCGAATAGGGACGCCTCGCTCGGCGTGCTCGTGCCGGCGCTTTTCCCTGGGACGAATGAAAAAAGAAAGCCAAGAAGAAGAATAAAAGATGTCGAATGTTGCTTGGCCTGATGTCTTTCATGTATTGCCAGAAATGAGGAGCCTGGTTGGCACAAGGTCCCCAGGCTCAACCTTTTGGGGAGATTAGCCGAGCATGAATATGAGCAACAGCCAATCCCCCTCTTTCATGCTACTGAAGATGCGGTTTTAACAGGCACGGCGATGGCATGGGCCTAATCCCTTGATTCGTAGGATCTTGACCACTGATGCGCGTGCGAGAGAGAGTCCTGCCGCCGCCTCCAGACTTAATTCAATGACCTATGTCATCCGACTGGGCATTGCTTTGCCTCTTCTATAGATCAAATATCACCAATTAGGATATGGTAATGGCCATCTTCTCCTCTT